GATTTTGTCTTCTAATCTTAGTAGCTGGCGCTGTAGAGTTTGCTTTAAAGGTGATTTTTTGAAATATTAAGTGAAATGTCCATTAACTTTTAATGGTTGAATAATCAAAATTAACACTTATAAATGTTGGTGATGTAATTGATATTTTTTAAAATTTAGTTATCCAAACAAAAAACTTTGAAACATTAGGTGACAAAAAGTATTTCACTCTTAATTCTACAAAGTTAATATGCTTTCAATTTACTTTTAAATATTAAGATTTAAATACTATGTTATTTAAATATGCATAAGATTAGTTTGCTTAAATATTATATTAATAATATAAAAAATTATCAAAATTATATCAAAGGTTATATAAATTGTATCAAATATTATCAAAATTTTATAAAAAATTATAAAACTTTTAACAAAGGCTATCAAATTAATCAAAAGTTATCAAAATCAAAATTATATAAAAACTTATCAAAATCATATAAAAGTTCATTAAAATTGTATCCAAGAGTACTAAGATTCTATCAAATATTACTAAAATTTTATCATTGATCACCAACATTATATCATAAGTTATCAAAATGATATTAAAAGTTACTAAAATTATATTAATAAGTTGTTATCAAAATTTTATAAAAAGTTTCAAATTTGTATCCATGATTAATAAAATTATATTATATATTACCAAAATAATATAAAAGATTACTAAAATTTTATCAAAGATTATCAAACTTATAACAAAGGTTATTAAATTATATCAAAGGTTTTTAAAATCAAAATTATAGAAAAGGTTATCTAATTATATTAAAGGTTATCAAAATTAAAATTTTATTAAAAGTTATCAAAATCATATCATAACTTACCAAAATTGTATCCAATGTTACCAAAATTATATCATAAGTTATCTCAATTGCATTAGAAATTACCCTAATGATATTATGATTACAAAAAATTTTGTCAAAACTTACCAAAATTATATCATAAATTACTAAAATAATATCAAAATTATATAATAAGTTACCAAACTTTTATTATAATAAAACCTACTTAATATATTCAACAATTTTATTTAAGGAAATTTGTATAATTTAATTATATTAATCTTATAATTTTTGCTTTTTATTATGTGTTATTTCTTTTTTAACTTTAATTAATATTAAACTCCAATAAAATTACATTTTACTTTTACAAACGAATTAAAGAAAAATTACATTCAATATTTAATCTCAACAATATATCAAATGATATTTTAGTGTAAATTTATTTTCAACGTTAAAATTTTCTCACTTGATTTTTTAATATTGGAATCTTCAATTTATGAAACAATCTTTATATAGTGCATTCAAAATTTCTTATTTGATTTTTTTTGCTCTTTTCACTAAATATCTTATATATATATATATGTATATATATTCTTTCTTTCCTTTACTTATAAAAATTTTGAAATAAAATAACCTAATCACTCTCGATCTTAATAATCTCAAAAATATTATTAACTATTTTCAATGTCACTAGTGCTTTAATTTACAACTCTTTGAGACTGTCTCAATTCAATTTAGATAAATTTGTTCTCTAAAATTTTCATAAAAATAAGACGACTTCAGAATGGAATCCTAAATGAGAAGATTAGCATTTTTTTTTGAAGGATGTGTATAAATTAGCATTAATATGTATCATTATACATACTCAAACTCACACAAAAATATATTTTCCACTACTTAAAAAGTAGTAGAAGTTTTCACTAATTTATCTAATGGCCAATAATATATATTCACCTTTCATGATTGAAATTTAATTATTTTAAATTAAATATGAAAATAAATAAAAATTAATTAAAAATTCATCACCTTGTTATTGCTAGTCCAGCATTGTCACTTGCATAAACATATCATCAATACACATAATTAGTAATTTTTTTAATAATGTAATAAATACATTGATATTGTCAAAATTCAACTAGAATAATTATTTCTGACTATTCAAATTTTTCTAAAAATTTTCATTATTGTCACTTGGTTGTATTGAGTTTTTTTTTTTTTTTTTTATAAATTTTCTTGATTTTTTAGTTTTTTTTTTTCAAAAATTTTACCTGAAGTTAGTGTTGCACTATTGAAAATTAATTAAATATTTAATGTTTTAATTTCTTTGATGTGTTGGATAACTTACTTAAGAAACCATTTAAAGGAATATTTTTTTGAAAAATGCTGAAAAATATAAAGTAGGTAAATCTTTCTTAATATATTCAACAATGCTATTTAAGAAAATTTTTATAATTTAATTTCATTAATCATATGATTTTCTTTTTTATTATGTGTTATTTCTTTTCTAACTTTAGTTAATGTTTTTTGAAATTAAAGAAATTTAATTAAAGTTAAATCCTAAAAAAATCACTTTTTACTTTTACAAAAAATTAAAGATAATATCCATTCAATATTTAATTTTTAACAACATACCAAATTATATTTTGGTATAAATTTATTTTCAAAATTCAAATTTTCACACTTAATTTTTAATATTTAATTTTTCAGTTTATCAAACAATACCAAATCTTAATATATGTGCATTTTGAAATTTTAATTTGTTTTTTCCTTTTCACTAAACTTTTTTTTTTGGATAAAATCCGTTTTATTTCTTCCCATGCTTAATTGCTTCCAATGCTTTTGGCTTCTTTAGAAATCATTGTTGCTTCAAGATTTTACTTTTATACTTTCATAAAAACTATTTTATAATTTAACATGTTTGTATACGTACATACATACATATATTAATTATATATTAACTTATATAAAACATTTAATGCAATCAATACATTAATTTTGATGAAAAGAAAGTGCTAAAGTGATTTATTTCTTTTAAGATCCAAATTTTTTAGTGCTACAATTGAATGTAAGATCTTTTATCTAAATTTCACCAAAATTTAGTGACTTGAGTTAAATGTTAGAGGCTTATAAAACAAATAACTTAGTATATCAAAATATATTTTAGAGAATATCCTGTCAAAAAAATATTTTGATATATTATTGTTTTTTTTTTTTTTTTGCCAAATTCCTAATTAATGTTCAATTATCGTGATAATATGTTAAATATGTATTTCTACTTGCTAAAGAAATAACTTAATAGCACCATTAATATGAAACTTTTATTTAGAGCAACATTATATATTTGTATTCATACATACAGTAAAAGGGAAGAGAGATGTGGATTTAATACGAATTAAAGGTTAAACATATGCATAGGATAGCTAGAGCTATCAATGATGATTCAAACTTGGAAAGTTTGCTTAATCCAATTGAGCCCAATTTATTCATCCAAAAAAAAAAATAATAAATCGAATTTGAAATGATATGAACCCTAATTAACTCAAATTTGAAAATATTTAAATTTGAATAATCCAAACAAAAATGATTCAAAATTAAATTGGTTTGATTTTAAAGTTCAATAATTTGAACTTAAAATAACTAGAATCTAATAACTGGATCCTAAAAAGTATAGTGCCAAACCCAAATAGTCGGAATTTAAAATAAATCAAATTCGAGATAATTCAAATTAACTTTGAAATGATTTTGAATTTAAAATAACTCAAAATTTTTTTGACTTGAAATAATTTGACTTAATACCCAACCCAAAACTTGACCCAACCTGCCCAATTGCCACTTCTAAATTGATGCTTTTTTTTTTTTTTTCTCTTATACACATAGAAAAGATCTTTTTATCTTTTATTAGTTGTTGTTATTAACAAATTTTATTGAAGTTTTCTTGGATAATTTTTTTCAAAACATTTATGGAATGTACATTAAAACAAATTTGAATGAAAATTGAAGAAGGGGAGATATTATAAATTTGGAAATAAAAACACCCTTAATTATTGTAATCATCAATTTTAATCTACCACAATAATAATATTAAAATTCTAATCAATTGTAAATAGCCAAATAAAAAAAAAAACCATTGAAAGTGACATCATGAAACATAATATGTAACTTTCTTAATGGTCTAACCCCTAAGCCAACTCTAATCTATTTAATCAACCATCAAGTTGTCAATTTTCATGGATGCGAATGGTTTTTCAATGAAAGTCTAGCTTTCATATAAAATGAAGACTACTTAAATAATTTAATTAATAAAATTTTAATTATGATTAAATTATATATATTAAAAAAATCCAACCATTACACTTTGTCAAAATTACCAAGGAAAATAAAATCAGTATGCAATCCTCAGTAGCTGACCCGCAATTGCCAACAATTATGGCAACAACTAATAAGTAAAGATGGAATTTACTACGAAAATGTATTTTGCTTTAATTCTGCTTTGTGGTACCACCACGAAAGGGGCAATAACACCTTAAATATTGATTTTTAATTTATGTCATTTCGCTTATTTTTCTTTTCACTTTTGTTGTTACTTTCTTTCACTTACATTTTTTTATTTGTATTTTCACTACTCTCTTTCCGTTCCCCCTACTATTTGGCAATGCTTATGTGGAAGTCCTGTTGATAGTTGATGGATCTCGATTGCTATACATAAGAATAGCAAATTTTACAGTACTTAACAATCCCAGGCCTTAATTTTGTGTAATCTGCTTACTGTTTCTTGTTCTTAAGAGCTGATGGTTTTGGTGGTATAAGTTAAAGAAATAGGAATTACCTGGGAAAATGTAACAGATCGGAAGAAGAAAGCAGTTAGAAATGTTTATTCCAAAAATAATTTGATCATCATAATTTGGATTGTAGCAAATAATAGCAATGATATTAGTTCATTTCATAGACCTATAAATGCAGCATGTAGAAAGAATACAGAGTCATCTGCCTCTTTTTGAATATGTTGTTTCCTATGTTAATCTTTGAACATAGATATGTAATACAGTATGTACCGAGAACAGGACACAAGAACTAATCTTGGTCCAATGCTAGAATATTGCTTACATTTTTTCTAAAGAGAAAACAATGGTTTTGTTGCCAACTTATTGTTAGTCAATTGTGTGCTTCTTTTATATGATAAATCTGTTTACCGGAGTTCTTTTAGAGATTGCGTAGACCTGAACATAGCATTCTGATGTACATATTGGGTGTTATGTAGGTTCTTGTGACCATGGACTATTTGGGACATAGGATTTTAACACATTTGGAAAATGGGAGCAGTCTTGATCAGAATTTAACTATCCTGAAGAGAAAATTGGAGGAACTAAATGGCCTGAAGGAGGACAATGAATCAATAAAGAGTGTACAGCTGCAACCAAGAAAGAAACTCAAGAAAGAAGTTGAGATTTGGTTTCGAAATGTTGAGAGGATTAATGGTGAAATACTGAATCTTGAAAACGAAGTTAGAGGAAGCAATATTGTCTCGCGTGGATTCCTTGGAGAAACCGTTTCAAAAAAGACACAAGAAGTTGAAGAACTTCATCAAAAAGGGAAGAACTTTGATGCTTTGGTGATTGACAAGCCTCAGTGGATTGGACAAGTTTTGTCAACAACAAACTTAATTGGTGAAGCTGCTAAAAAAGTTATGAATGAAATTTGGGCACATTTGATGGATGATGGTGTTTCAAAGATTGGAGTTTGGGGAATGGGAGGATCGGGTAAAACAACTATCATGAAGCTCATCAACAACCAACTTTTGAAAGAGACTGAAAAGTTCAACATCGTGATATGGATCACTATATCAAAGGAGTTGAACATCTCTAAAGTACAAGACAGCATAGCAGATGCTATGAAAGTAGCCGTTCCTAAAGCTGAAGATGAAGCAAGAAGAGCAGGGTTCATATACGAAATGTTGTCTCAAAAAAGCAACTATGTGTTAATCTTGGATGACCTATGGGACAAACTTTCTCTTGAAGAAGTAGGCATCCCCGAGCCTTCTAATGGGAGCAAATTGTTGGTAACATCTCGATTGTTAGATGTGTGCCGCTATTTGGGTTGTCGAGAAGTTAGAATGCATACCCTTTCAAAGCCAGATGCATGGAGCCTATTCTCGCAAAAAGTAGGTCAAGATGTTTTGAATCACCCACATCTGTTGCCCATTGTGGAATCTGTTGCTGAAGAATGTGCTGGTTTGCCCTTGGCTATTGTTACAATAGCAAGCAGCATGAAGGGTGTACGGGACATTCATGAGTGGAGGAATGCACTCCATGAATTAAATAGACATGTAGAAAGTGTGAGTGGGGTGGAAGGGAAGGTGTTTCAACAGATTCAGTTCAGCTATGATCGTTTACACAATGAAAAATTGAAGCATTGTTTCCTCTGTTGTGCATTATATCCTGAAGATTGGGAAATAGGCACAGATGAGCTAATAGATCTATGGGTTGCCGAGGGGCTTGTGGAAGAAATGGATAGCATGCAAGTAGAGGTTGACAAGGGGCATGCCATATTGAATAAACTAAAAAACAGTTGCTTGATTGAAAACGGTACCAGACATCCAGATGTTACCGTGAAGCTGCATGACATTGTGAGGGACATGGCATTACGTATCACAAGACCACGATTCTTGGTGAGAGCTGGATTGCAATTGGAAGAGATACCAAATGTGCAAGAATGGAATGAAGATTTGGAGAAGGTATCATTGATGTGGAATTGGAGATTACAAATTCCATCCCAAATGCCACCACCGAGGTGTCCAAAGCTCGCAACCTTATTGTTGTCCGATTGCCATATAACGAGCATTCCAGAATGTTTCTTTGAGCAAATGCATGGACTCAAGATTCTTGATCTTTCTGGGAATTATTTTGAGAGTTTGCCAAATTCCATATCAAGGTGTCAAAAGCTCACAACCTTATTGTTGTCCAATTGCGAGATAAAGAGTATTCCAGATTGTTACTTTGAGCAAATGCATGGACTCAAGACTCTTGATCTTTCCTTTAATTACGGGATTGAGAGATTGCCAAATTCCATCTCTAATTTGGAAACTCTCACTACATTGTTGCTAGGTGGGTGTGGAAATTTAGAGGTGCCATCTTTTTCAAAACTTCAATCTTTAAAGAAGTTGGACCTTCGTAAAACAAAAATCAAAGATCTCCCTCATGGGTTGGAAAGGCTGGTAAATCTCAAATATCTTGATTTGATTGGTACGAGTATAACAGAGGTGGCCGATGGAATATTGTCAAATTTCACATCACTTCGGCACTTGAGTTTTGACGTGGATGATAACGTATTCGTGAGAGGAGAGGAAATAGGTAGATTAAGGAAGTTGGAATACTTTAAAGGGAGGTTTTATGACTTGAATGAGTGGAACAATTATATCCAAGCTTTGCATGCTCCAACAGCAGGGCCTCGAGAATACAACTCTTTTGTGGGTGGACAACCATGTTTTGGCTCTCGAACAGAGGATAAAAAAGTAATTGAAGTAAGTAGATGTAACATCTGCGGAGATGGTGTTAAGGTCCTATCTGATGTTGAGGGCTTGGTAATTTCGAAGTGCATTGTCGATTTGTGTGAAGAAGAGGCATTTTCCTCGCGGTTTATCTTACCGCCACATAATGTTTTTTCCTCTCTTTCTGATATTCGCATAGATTCTTGTCAAAATATAAAGAAGTTGTTCTGGTCGAATTGGGTCTTGCAGAACCTCCAAAACTTGAAATTTTTATATGTTAAAGATTGCTGGGATATGGAAGAAATAATAGCACCAGAATCAGAATCGGAGGAAGAAGGAATAAGTGCCATCAATTTTACTCTTTCCAATTTTGCGCTATTGATTTTGGATAATCTACCAAAATTGAAGAGCATTTGTAGTGCAAATGGAGTAATGGTTTGTGATTCTATTGAGGGTATTTCTATATATGATTGTCCAAAATTAAAGAGGATACCTCTGAATCTTCCCCTGGATGATGATGGCCAACCATCTCCCCCTCCTTCTCTAAGAAGTATTGAAATTGAAGAGCAGCAGTGGGAATTGCTTGAGTGGGACCAGCCAAATGCCAAGTCTCTGTTGGAGCCTTACCTTAAGTAGCGATAGTTACATGTTCGTTGAAATGTCTGACCATTACAGCGTTCACTGTAACTTTTATTTTTCTGTTGAGACAGGAGGAAATTACGCCTGACCATAATGGTAGCTTTTTTCTAACACTTTCTTTCCTTCTGTCTTCTTCATCTCTCTCCATTTTCACTTTTTAATTGTTAATATCATGCTTGGCCTTTCCAGTTTTCCTGGAGATCTTAGCACGTTAAGGATTATTTGGCGGCAGCTCACACTTCAATGTTCGGAACTCCCTTGATGCATGTTCTTTTCAAGTCTTCTGTTTCTACCCTTCTTGTTGACGTTTTAGAGGTTTCAGAGATTTAGGTAAGCATGAACAATTTTGGCCAAACCCTTTGATTGGTTGATCCTTGTGCTCAGGTCAAATATTAATTTTCTGCTTTTGTGTGGATCTATGACAAATTTGTTCCATAGATTTCATACAATTATTGTGTCAGGGTCCGGTTTGATGTATTTTCTTGGTGTTGTTACGATTATGGGGATGGTTAACATTGGGGGTCTTCAACCTTTTGTTGATATTATGATTCCAGTTCTTAGTATGGCTAGAAATTTTCAAATTCATATGAATGATTTTGATCACAAAACTGAATTTGAATATCACCCATATTACAATTTCATGAATAGGATATTACACTGAACTTGCATAAAAATTGATTGCATTACAATCTATTTGCAGCTCTCCTCTGTCTAGATTTTTTCGCTAATTGATCTTGAAGAGCTCAAAAATTGGTCTCCTTCTTTATTTGCCTTTATTGGTTGTTATCCTTCCATGAATAGAATTCTTTTCCGCGTGTTAGGATTGAATTCAGAACCATCTTTGATAAAAGAATTTTTTTCTCAAAAAATTCTTCATCAAGCTTTGTACGGAAATTCCTTGTAAGGCCTTTTTTTTTGGCCTATTTCATGATATGCCTTTGACTCCAGCCTTTTGGTTGGAAGCACAACGGAAGTAAGCTGTTGGATTAAATGCTGTACAAGTTTACAGTTACAGGTCCTTCATTTCATCACTTGTATATCACTCAGTCTCATTTATTTCTTACTATTTTTTCCCTTTCCTACATAATAATTTCAAGCTTTTCTGTCTGTCTTTCCCTAGATGATGTATCAGGTGAGAGATAATTTGTCAGCAACTTAACGCTGCTAGAAAATAGAAGGAAATAGTGGCTTCTCACGTTCTCACTTGTAACCATTTGCCATTGTACACTCCCCTAAATTCCCTGTCAAGTCAGAATGGCTGATGAAGACCCTTGTGACCATTTCTTCGTTTTTTTGAAAGCAAGACCAATTTAAGCTGTAGAATAGAAGGCTTAGGCATAGTTGTAAGTCCTTTATCTTTAATCTCTCTTTGCCTAGTTTTCTTTTTCCTTTGTATTTATATTCTTATAATTGATGCCTTTTCTGGTCTTGTCTTTTCCTAGATGCCATATCATTTCAACAAATTGTTCCAAATTTTAAGACCGTGGCTAAGAAGATGAAAAGGGAAATTGCTTACTCTGGGGGTGAAGGTAGAATTGTAAATTTCACTCCTTTGCAGAGCACCAGTGTTCTAAATTTTCTTAAATCGTCTTCACCGTGGAATTGCCAAGGTTTCCTAGTGTAATATTTGTTGGCTCTGTACTTTTTGTCTGTCTGTTTTGTACTTTGTTTCTTGTCTGTTAATAGAAACATGTCAAGAATTTGTCTTCGTATTTAATCATTGAGAACATGGCAGATTCTGTTACCCTTAATTCTGCTGCAAAGTTAGTTGATTGTATTTCCTTTACCCAAAATTTTTGAAATACATAAATTTAATTTCGTGTAAAGCTTATATTTTCACCAAGGAGAGCGATATTTATGTTTTCTGGTCTTGGATATCGAGATCCTGTCAAAAGGCTGGTTAGATAGCCAATGTTAGTTAAGTCAGCAAAGTATTGAGAGGAAGAACGTAGGCAGGAGGAAATAGAGATGGTGTAAGGTTCGAAATGTGTTACCTGTGGCTTGATCATACCTTTTATACCTTGTTCATGTTGACATGGGCAGTTGACTTGTTTGGTATCAACTAAGTAATGGACCGGTTATATTTAGAACGTTTAATAAAGTCAGAATTTGGACATGGCGACTAACGTACAACATATATATTTAGAACGTTTAATAAAGTCTATTAGCAAATTATCTTCATTGGACAGCCTAAAGGAATATGAAACTTAATTTGGAAGTTCGAAGCTGCAGATTTGCTGGCCTTGAATACCTTATACTTTCCTTAAGCAACTTGGACTTTCCCCCATGAAACATTCGTAACCATAGGGAAAAAAAAACACATGGACATGATAAAGAGAACAAAAGAGAAATAACATAGTTGACCTTTGACCCTGCAAATGCCAAATTTTGTAGTATATCATAAATAATCAACAATAAAGAAGGTGGAATCCACCCCTACACCTCAATTTGCTTTAATGTTTCTTCGGAGAGTTTCCATTAAGTTGACTGGTAGAAATGAAGGTCATTTCTCTTCTTTTCATTTGAACTTTCCTCGGCACCTCCCTCTTTCTTCTTGGTATTTCTTCCTACTTACCCATTTCTTTGCCCCACAGTCTATATACCTCTTCTACCAAGGTTCTACTGTTGGCAAAGGAATTTGCTTCTTTTTATTAGCTGGGCCTTTTCTTCAATTATCAGGTAATTTTAATTTCCAATACTAAGTTTCTTTTGACTTTTATGAATTGTGCGAAAGTTCATGCTTGTTCATGAAATATTTTTCTGCTCTGCCCAGCTATTACTTTCTCACCTTTACTTGTTGACTTGAGTCTTGACATTGATTGTTCTTGATTGGGTTATTAACTTGTTTTTATATTATTCATATGCTTTAATTTTTTGGTCTCTTCATGCTAAGATGCATCAATATTTTGATCAAACAATTAATTATGAACTGAAAAGCCCATGTAATCTCTCAGAATTAAATGTTTAGATGGGGAACTTAAGTCAACAAAATATGTAGTACAAACCGAAGTTGCTGGAACATTATTGAAAAGGGTTCTACTTTCGGAATTTTTACTATTTTTACAGCTTTGGCCTGGGGTTTATGAGTAGGACTCTTTAATTTACATTATGAAAAATTAATTTTAACAAGTAGTAATAAAAAATGAAGAATTTGTTCCCAAAAGTCACAAAACATGGAGTTAATAATCAGAAATCATACTAAATTTCTGAGCAAATGGCCAACTTTTTTTTGTTCCCAATAATAGGCTTCTTAAAATATATGCTTACATAATTAAGTTCTTTTAAAATTTATTTGTCATGACAAAGCATTCTAATGCCATGTATTGGGTGTTATGCAGGGACTTCGCTGAACAAGTAGGAAAAATTTTTGAAGCTGCAAATACTATATGGGGCTTTATAGGAAAACACTGGAAATTCCCTACAGGCCTTGATCAGAATGTAAATAATCTGAAGAGAAAAAGAGAGCAACTAAACGGTCAAAAAGAAGACACAGCATCGAGAATTAAAGCTGAGCAGCGTCCAAGAAAGAAGGTCAAGAAAGAAGTTAAGCTGTGGTTGGAAAATGTTGAAAGGGTAAATGGTGAAATACAGAACCTAGAATCAGAAGCACTTGGACCTAGCAGCTTTTACTCACGTGGATTCCTTAAAAACAATGTTTGGAAGAAGATAGAAGAAGTTGAACAACTTCTTGGAAAGGGTAGATTTTCTGATGGTTTCGTTGTTGATGATCCTTTGCGGATGGGACAGGTGCTGCCGATACCAAGTTTAGTTGGTGAAACAGCAGCACTTAAAAGGAATGAAATTTTGGGATACCTGATGAATAATGAGGTTCAAAAGATCCGAATTTACGGAATGCCAGGAGTTGGGAAAACAAGTGTCATCAAGCTTGTCAACAATGAACTCTTAAAAGATGCAAACCAGTTTAATATTGTTGTATGGATCACTGTATCAAGGAAATGTGGTGTTATTGAACTACAGAATAAGATTGCACGGGCAATTAGTGCTGTTATTTCAGAAGATGAAGATGAAACAATACGAGCAGGGATATTATCTGAAATATTTGCTCAAAAGGGCAGGTATGTGTTAATCTTAGATGATGTGTTGGACAATTTTTCTCTGGAGAAAGTTGGAATTCCTGAGCCTACTGCAAGTAATGGGAGTAAATTAGTTCTAACATCCCGATCATTGGATGTATGTCAACGCATGGATTGTCAAGTAATAAAAATGGAACCGCTTCCTGAAGCAGAAGCGTGCACATTGTTCTTGGACAAGGTTGGTCAAAATCTAATGAGTTTTACAGTTTTAGTGCCACTTGCCAGATCCATTGCTAAGCGTTGTGCTGGTTTGCCTTTGGCAATAATCACAGTTGCCAGTAGCATGAGAGGTGAATATAGCCTTCCTAGAAGGGGGAATGCATTGGAGGAATTAAAAAGGAGTGTACAGACTGTCATGGATGTGGATGTTAAAGGCATGGTATATCAGCAATTAAGATTCAGCTACGATCGTTTGAATGATCCCAAAATTCAGAATTGTTTCCTCACTACTGCATCATATCATGAAGATTCAGGAATCCATAAGAAGCAGCTGATAGGGGACTGGATTAGAAAAGGATTAATAGATATGGGCAACATGCAAGCAAACATTGACAGGGGCCAGGCAATCCTAGGAAAACTTATTGACAATTGCTTGTTAGAAAATGTTGGAAATGGAAGAGTCAAAATGCATGATCTTGTAAGAGATATGGCTGTACTGATCACCCAGGAGCTCTATTCATCATAACCATCATTTCACTGAGAGCCAGAAGAACAAGGAGTAGGTGCCACGGCCAGTACAGTCAAAAGTGAAGACAAATATTGCAACAGAAAGGGAGTGATTGTTTGCTGTTTTTTCCCAACAAATTGAAACTCCCAGCTGAAGAGAATGCCTTTGTAACCACGATTGCTTCGTATGAGACACCAAATGATCCAAGTGAGGCAAATGGTGGAACAAAAACATGTCTCACTCTCTTGAATTGTAACTCTATTAATCATCAGTTTTGCACTGAATTAACTGTTACTTCTTCACAAAAAGCTTTTTCCTCCTGTCATTTGCAATTTTTTTATTCCTTTTCTTTTTGTAAAATTGAAATTGAAAATTTTTATTCCTTTCTTTCAGGACAAATGCATTGAATTAAATGGTTGCAAAATCAATCGAGACGGTATTCAGCTCCCATCCAATATTCAGCGATTGAGTCTTGTTAACTGTATTGTCGATTTTTGTGAAGAAAATGCATTTTTCTCACGGTTTATCCCGGTGCTACTTGACAAATTTTCCTTTCTTCAATATATTTATATAAAAAATTGTAGGAAAATAAAAAAGTTGTTCATGTTTTAACTGGGTGTTGTAGAACCTCAGAGATTTGGAAGTGTTAAGTGTTGAGGAATGTGAAGAAACGGAGGAAATAATAGCATCACAATCAGAAAAGCAGGAAAGGAACAGGTACCAGAAAAAACATCAAATTTACTCTACCCAAATTAAGTTATTTGAGATTGTCTTCTCTAGAAGAGCATTCATAGCACAAATGGAGTAATGGTCTGTGATTCTCTCCAAGAAATTTGGTTAAGGAATTGTAGAAAATTAAAGAGGATCCTCGATAACTCCCCCAACTTGATGATGGCCATCCTCAACCTCCTTCTCCTCTTATCCACAAATTTAAGCTTAACCATTCAATCTTTTCGTCTCCTTTTTTTTTTTTTTTTGCTTAAGATAATTTTCATTGATGATAATTGTATATTCTATCAATTAAAAATTTATTTTTTTATTTAAAAATTTTCATTATATATAAATTTTTATTATATAAAAATATTAAAATACATAATCTAATAAAATAAAATAAAATAAAATCTTAACCGTGGTACTTATTATGTTTTATTGAAAAAATTTTGATTCTTAAAATAACAAACTTGTTACATAATAAATATGTATATATAATTTATAATGATTTCATTTTCAGCATTAAAATAAAAACTTTCATGATTTGGCATAAATATATTGAAAAGATAGTCTTAATGAATTTTATCATACCCTAAAATAATTTATCAAAAACAATTAATTTTACTTCACTTAATAATTTTTTACATGAAATAATTCACATTGGGACATTTAACCACTTGTATGATAAAAAAAAACAAACAATTTAATATAATTAAAAAAATTAAATAATCTTGAGTTATAAATTAATCATATATAAATATATTAAGATAGAATATGAAAGAAAATTAAATGAATTATTGTTTCATTCAAAGTGAACAATTCTTATGATAATTTGATAGAACCCAATCTTAAGTTACTAGCAGTTCCACCATTTCCTGGATTATCTAATTCTATAAATGAAAAGTTCAATTAAAATGTTCAATTAATCATACAGTACTAATTGTTGATAAGGGAAGGAATTGATTTGAATTCGATTTGATAGTAGTTTTTGTTCATTGGAATAACAATTATAAAATTCTAAAAAAAAGATATTAATTATAAAGGTCATATTAAAGTATAAAAATGACATATTAAAAAATTATTTCAAAAGACTAAAAAGATTTAATTATGTTATCAATGATTAAACTATCAACTTATAAAGCATATTGATAATGAAATCATTATCATACATACATAGTTAATATATTAAAATAAAAAATTTTAAAAATAGAAAAAAAACAAATATGCTTAAATGGCTTAATTATGATTATTTTAATAAATTTATTTATCAACATAAATTGCAAATACAATTGTTTTTGCTACAACTAAAGAAACATACTTTATATAAATTAGTTTATTCTATGCACATTAAGCTTTTATAATGTTCTATTTATATTTTCATTTAACGTGAAAAATCATTCTATTTATACAAAAAAGAAATTTAATAATTAAAATAAAATCATTTAAATTAAAATTTATAAAAAATTACTAATAATATTTTAATAAATCACTTTTAATATTTTTGAAATTAAAATTTTATTAAGAGTTTAATCAATCACTTTTAGCACAATCTAATTATAAAAAAAAATCTAATAATAAAAAATTCATTTAAATTAAAATTTATAAAAAAAATTACTAAAAATATTTTAAACAATCACTTTTAACACTTTTAAAATTAAAATTTTAACATTTTAAATAATTTAATTTCTCATAAACTCTATTTTTAATTCTAATTTATTTAAATTAAACAAAAATAAATTAATAAAAATTATATATTTAAAGATAAATTTGTTAATTTAAAAATTTATAAAAATATTTATGTCAATTACTATTAATATTTTTGGAGTTCACACGTATTATTTTTGTTGAGCTGTGCCTTCAAGCAGTTTTCCTCTATTTCCTGACAATTACATTGTTTCAATACATTATATTTTCCCCAATAAAAAATTGTCAATGTTGTTTTTAACATATAAAAGTTCAAGTTTGGTCGTACAATGGAACCTATTCTCCACAACATTAAGGAAAAACCTCCTTGAAGTTATTTGTTTCTGCGAGAGAAGCAGAGCAGAAATGAAAGAGTTGCATCCACAACTTAAATCAGATCGTAAGCTTTACTGCTTGAGATCAAGCTTCAGACAAACATAAATGAAAGAGTTGCATGCTGTCTTAATCAATGAGAGGTGTTCATGCACTATTGCTCTGGAAGTTTGTCCTTCCAATATTTCAGAACAGCTTTGGTTCCCCTGTCTAAAATTGGCCTGCTGATGCTGAAAATTCAAGGTAAAGAGAAAATTAGATGATGATTCATAAGCTAGACTCTGCTCGAACAGAAACAGAAAACATGAAACTACACTAAGTTCGGCAAACTTTAATGCTTCTCTGTTCAATTATTTTTAGTTTTGGCATGAACTACAGCTCGGCTGCAGCAGTTTTTTCAGCATTGTTTCTTTTTATCAATAACAAAACCAAAAGTTTATATGGTGAACCACAGAAAATTAATTTAAAGAAAATAAAGTGGGGATTTTCAAAATGCCGCATGCCTTCTTAACGGATTTCCATTAAGCCTCAACCTGGAGGCTTGGTTCAAGCAGACCCTGGCCAAAAAACCATTATCTAAGAAAGGCGTAACAATATATAATCTGAACAATGACCACAGCATAGGAAACCCACACACACACACCCCCCAACAGTATCAAAAAGATGGTACAGAGATTTTCTAATTCTGACCAGTTCCGGGGAAGTGCTGAAATGTTATTGTCAGACAACTCCAGCTCAGCGAGAGATGCAAGGGTCTTTAGTCCCTGCACATGAATCTCGATAAAGCATAGACTAAATGACAGTTTATGTTCAGGAGAGTAGAACAACAGGGAAAATATTTGAATGCAGGGCCAACAATTACATCAACAACACAAAATGTGGACGGTACAAACTTAACGTGCTTGGTCAAATCCAGTATAGACATCTGACTATATTCATTACTATTAAAGTGGAATATAGAAACATAACCTTATTTTTAGCATGTGAAAGCCTAGGTTGAAAGCTCTAATTCTCTCTTAATGGGATCTATACAAACCAAGCAAACTAGGGATGAAGTGCCACTAAATAAATTTCATCACTCAATAAAATTAATTTTAGACAAATTTTCAACTTCACATAATTGTATGAACATTCACGTGTGATCAATAGAGAAAACAAGTAGTTATAGCAGTTATATAGTGGATGTTCCTACATAAACAGTTAGTGAAGTCAGTTTATGCCAAATATCAAAGTCATGCAATAGATGCTAACTATCGTGCAAAACTTATTTGTAAGAAGAACTCATAATAAGTGGCTCAGCTTAAAAGAGCATATTCACCTCTTGGATTGATTGAAGGGAATTTTGGCCCAAGTCCAGGATTTGCAGTTGACATAAGCACATTATCTCTGATGGGTAGCTGAACTTGTCTGTCAAGTCAACATAGAAGTAAGACAAATAGCAAATGTTGAAAAAAAAAATAATGATAATAATAAAACACAGATCATTATGCAGAAATTGCCAAGAAAAACAAATCAATGTGTTTGTGCTTTTGCATGTGGAAATGCATGTCATTACTTCAGAACACAATCAAATTAACCTATCGTTGAAATACCATTCTCTTAATCAAGATTGTTTAGATTATATGGAGCATAAGTTGCTGGAATCAATTGCTATACAAGTAAGAAGATGTTCAACTCACAGTGAAATGAATCTCATGTGTTATATTCTATACATCATGAATAAAGTGTAATCACAAAAACCAAATGAAATAGAAATGTCATTGATGGATTCTATAATCAACGTAAATAAAGGTCATGCTCACAAAGTTGAAATAGGACAGCAACTGTTGCATACAGAACATATTATTGGTGGATAAGCATATGTTCTCGTATTCCTGAAGTTTTACATATAGCCATCTAGCTAGCAGCATAGATGAAATATTCAATATTGCAGTAGTTAATTCTAACACATGACAATCACAACATAATTGATTATTTCAATGTTCTTAGACAGAGATTTCCGTGCCTATCAATCTAATCATCTTATCTGATTCATGAGCCACTTTAGATTGATGATCCATTATTGAAAGAACATAGCATTCAGTAACCAATTGGGCATATTTTTTTTGCCACATAACTATGAGGGAATCGTGAATTTAGACTATTTTATCTGTGCGCAAGCATGCATTGCTCCCTCTATAGTTAAGGATTAGAAGGCGGGTGAAAAAGAATATTTGAGGGAGAAGAAAATTTTATAAAACACTTTTAATTTCATGTTTCTCCCACATGATATTCAAACCGGTTACCTGTCT